GGGAGGTTTTTTTCATTCCTGCTGAATATATGACAAGATTTTCTTTGAAAAATAGGAGTTTAGTCAAAGGAAACGAAAATATACTTGAAAATTTAAATCTATATAGTTGCTGTTGAAATGCAAGTCAATAAATTTCTCTTCATTCAATTTCCTATACTTTCCTCCAAAACAAAGAGAGTAATAGATAAAAGAGTAAAAAAAATTATTTTTTTCTCATTTTGGGCTGAAGCACTCAAATTTCTTCTAGGTCCCTCTGAAAGGAAAGATTATATAGATTTTTGCAGTATTCACATGTAAGGTGAAAAATAATTAAATTACTTGCCTGGGTTTCTCTGCTCATGATGTAATACATGCTGTTTTGGTGTTCAGGAGGGCACATCAATCCAGCTGTGACATTTGGGCTCTTCCTGGCCAGAAAGCTCTCCCTCCCTAGAGCTCTGTACTACATGGTAATGCAGTGTCTGGGCGCCATATGTGGTGCCGGCGTTGTCAAGGGCTTCAAGAGAAGCCTTTACATGGCCAATAATGGAGGCACCAACGTTGTGAGCCCGGGATACACTAAGGGCGACGGGCTTGGAGCTGAGATTGTTGGCACCTTTGTCCTCGTTTACACAGTCTTCTCTGCCACTGATGCCAAGAGAAATGCAAGAGATTCTCATGTTCCTGTAAGTATTCTTCTCTTAATCTTATCTTCCACGAATTATGAAGTTTTAATTATTTTTTGTATTTAATTTTGTTGGCAAAATTTAAGACTGGAGGTAGATGTATCTTTCTAAACTGCAGAACAGTATTCAATATTTATAGGATAAAGTTGATTCTTTGCTTGATGTCTTGCTAATATTGTTGAAACTTCAAAATTCTATCTTTTATATTCTAAGCTAGAATAGTTGACGTTTGAATTCAGAAAATGCTAAAATAATTAGAATTGTCTGACAAAGTACTAGCCGCTATGGATCAGTAAGTGCAAGTTATTTAGCTTATAATGCCGGCCACGAAATCTGACTAAAAAGTGCTCATTTGACTGAATCAACAGTATACTCGAACGGCTTGGCAGGGCAAAAGTGAAAGTTTTTTTATTCACAATTTCTTGAGAAATCTGCACGAATGAATTAGTTTTTCTTTGCTAAGACTGATCTGGAAGAAAAAAAAATGGATTTTGCTTGCAGATCCTCGCACCACTTCCAATTGGGTTTGCTGTATTCCTTGTTCACTTGGCCACAATCCCCATCACTGGGACTGGCATCAACCCAGCCAGAAGCCTCGGAGCTGCCATTATCTACAACAGGGCTCACGCTTGGGATGACCAGGCAAGCACATATTTCTCTCGTTTAAAATCTCTGTTACGGCAAAATTAATCATCACATTCTGCTGAGAAAAGTTTGTTCTTTTCATGTTTTGTTTTCTCAGTGGATCTTCTGGGTTGGGCCATTCATTGGAGCCGCACTTGCTGCCTTTTACCACCAGGTTGTTATAAGGGCAATACCGTTCAAGCACAGGCCTTGATCTTTAAGCTTCATTTCGACTCTAAGTTCTCTTTGAATTATATGCTTTGGCGTAGAATTTACTCTATTTTTTTGTCACTGTCTGCTACTATGTCAGTCTTTTGCTTTGCTTTTGGTCTTTCCCATCTTTTTTTTTTCTTTTTCTTCCCTCTTCTCTCTCTCTGATGTATTCCAGTTAGTGCTTGTTGATGATCAAGTTTGTAAATTGCTATGCTTGAGTATGTTGCAGACTGCTTTCATGGAGTTTTTAAGTTGTTTTTCTTACATTTCTCATCAATCCCATATTGTTTACATAAAATCAAGTTGCTTTTCTGATGTTTAACATAATAAAATTATGTTGTTTATTTACTTTATTGTTTATTTCCAACAAAACATCAATAAAATGTAGTTCCATGCCTAACTTTTAGATCAAGTTTTGCCAAAATGCATCTGATAATATGATGGAAGAGATGATAAGGTTGGTGATGCGCGTAATTATTTTAACGTTTAAGTTCAGCGGAAAAGAGTGAATTATTTGTGGGGTCAGCTGCTGCAGTGGTTGGGTTGGAATGATGATAGCCGTGGGCGCCCACAGAACCACCATCACATGTGTTGTGTTCGGCCACTGCCTGATTGAGCTAACGGCTAGTTTTATAATTATCCTTGGGAAGATTTACATATGCATAAATATTTCTTAACAATTAATATGTTGTTAAGGCCCATAAAACGATTCAATTTATGATTCTAAATTAATGACTTGCCTTAAAAGGTAAGCATTTACTGAGAAGGATTTTGGTATACGGAAATCATGTATTTTGACATCATGTATCTCGTTGAGTGTGATAAACATGCCTGTTGCTTGCTAGTTAAAACAACTTTATTAAAACTTGGGGCATCTGCCTTGCGTTTGTTTTTATAATATATATAGGAAAGCATCTTTCGGTTCTTTAGTGGCAGAGTTCCCGATGAGAGATTTGTCGCCCACTCCTTTTGTGGGTTAGGTAAATCTCACTGGCTAATTTCAGGTCTGCAGCAAAAAAAGTACATTCAGTTGCATTTGTATCAGAAATTTGAGCATTAAATGGATTAAATTTCAAATGCAAATTAAAGTTATTATCTATTTTGGATTCATTATGTAATTTATTTCTACTGTGTCTGAAATTAATTGAATTTGAATGAATTATACATACACTGTTTTGTATGAAATATGGGATCGCTTCTGGCTTCCGCCTCAATCACTGTCGGCTACCACTTGCCACCTCCTTCTACCAGATATTTATTTTACATAAAACCAAATAAATTCAAAACATTCAAAATACACTTTTACACTGCATTCATTTTTCAGCAAATCAAATCAACTCTTAATAATATAAATTGATTTAGCTTCAAGCTATGATTTAGGGTCTGTTTGGGGTAGCTGCAGCTTATCCAACTTCTTCTGCTGATAAGACTTCTGCTGATAAGCAGCTTATCCTGATAATCTGCTGATGAGAGTAAGCAAAACTATAAGAATTTGAACAACATGAAAAGTAAATTTAGAATAATTTATTGATGTATTTGAAATTATTTGTGCTTATTTTGGACTTAATCATGTTTAGGTTTTAGCTTGACCAATTTCATCTAAAACCATCATGTAATTATTTTTTTGTTTTTTAATTTTATTTTACAATAGTAAACTTGATGATTAATAAACATGTCTAATCTCCTTACATATCTAACACCTAAACTTAAATTTGTACCTGCACACCACCTTAAGTATAGATGAAAAGGTGTATTTTACTGATTAAAAGTTAAAATAGTGATACTTTTTATGTTATAGAAAGATTAGGGTGGTATAAATGTAAAAAGTAAATTTTGAATTGTTAAATATGTAAATATATAAGAATTGGGTCGTAATGTAAATGCCCTGAAATTTATTATTTTCACACACATGTATATAATAGCATGCACTGCATTACTTCAGATTAAGCATGCTTTATGGCAAAATTTGATCTGTTTTTATTTTACATTCCATAATAAAAACCGTTGAATTTCTAGCTTGGCTACAAATCGCCTATTACTACTGAATGGCAGTGGATATACAGCAATATATATATATATATATAATAAGCAAACCATGAGGCAGCATAATGAAAATAAAAAAGGAGATTTACATATAAATGACCCAATATCTCATGTTCAATTATTACATGGATGACTTATCCACGCATGAAAAGGTGTGTTTCACCTCTTAAAAGTTAAAATTGTGGTATATTTCATGTAATATGAAAGATTTGGGTGGTATAAATGTAAAAAAGTAAAATTTAGGTGTTAGATATGTAAATACATGGAATAGGGTGGTACGGTGCTATGTATGTAATTGCCCCCAAATAAAAAATACGCATGGCCTAAGAATTTCATCTGTTGCCTACTCCCAGACAAAAATGCAGACAACTAAGCAAATTTGTTCAAATGATTCGACCATGCAAGACAAAAAATGTATGAACATCAAACAGTGGAGAGAAAAATAAAAGAAAAGAAAGCAAGTTTTGGCAGGATTAGTATGCATAACAGAAAAAAGCCAAAAATAAAATGAGAGTTTACTAAACATAATAGAGATTGTTTTAAAAAAGAGATGGTGGGGTGTTAACTGGAGACTTTGTGGATTTAGGACTCCTATTTGGTCTTCTTTATCTTTTCTCTATTGAAGTTTGATTTATTTCTCCACTTTCTATGTGATTGAACTGAAGGAGCACCAGTTTATTAAAGAAAAAGAGATTGGAGAAAAAATTAAATCTAAAACTATGATTTGATCTGGGGTTCAGCCTAGGCTTTGGTTGAGTACGTTTAAGCCTGTGTTAAATCAACTCTCCCAGAGCTAATAAGCTTTGAAAGAGCCTTACAATTAAAAAAAAAAAACGTACCACCATGGATGAGGGAAATAAACCAAGTGAGAGATTCAAAAAAAGGCAAAATGGAACATATTATGTTGTGTTGGAAGTTGAAAAACCGCTGAAACATCAATTCGAGAGATCTGAACAGAAGCGTACAAACAAGGAAATATATAAAACGCAAAGAACACCAAGATTTAACATGGAAAACCAGAGAATGGTTCGGGAAAAAATCACAAGTTATATCACACCAAGAAATCTACTATTAAAAGAGGAGAAATAGTACAAATTACACCACACTCGAGGTTCTCCATAATCTTGGAACTCAATAACACTCATTTCTCTCTTTTGCACGAGAATTCACAAAATCCAATTTCAACGCGCACTCGCTCCTCTACTGCTTAATAACCTGCAATAAAAAAAACGAAGACTTAAATCTCGAATTACAAAAATTTAGTTACAGGTGCCTAGGTGTCACCCCCAAGCGCCGAGTTTCCGGGCACTCTATTTTGGAAACTCGAAATGAGCCTGGCTGGGCGCGACAGCATGTGCTCTGGCGATGGGGCGCCTCCACTAGCGTAGGGGCACCTCATTCAAGCACCACTTCCAGGCACCGGTTCACCCGGTTCTCCCTCCAATACAAGAGATTCTTGTCTCCTTGCTTAAGTGAAACATTGACACGAACAATCAAGCTCCATATCTACAATCTCACACTTCGAGACTAATTGCAACTAATTCATCTCATCTAATTTGTACGCTTAATAGTTATGAACTATAGTTTGGCTCACCCCTTAATCTCAACCTTCAAGTACTCTAACTAAAGCTAATCATAGCTTCAGTTTCTCAATTATAACAAGTTTAGTCAACATATCTGAAGAATTTTGAGCAGTGTGTATCTTCTCAAAAGATAGCATCTTCTATAAGTGAACGGATAAAGTGACACTTAGCTGAATGTGTTTCATCCTAGCACAAAAAGAAATGTTCTTTATTAGATGAATAACACTCATACTATTACTATGAAGTTTTTCGATTCATTGATCCTTGCCAATTTCTGCCAACAAGCATTGTAGTCAAATCATCTCCTTACTAGTCTTAGTGATAACAATTTATTTAGTTTCTGTAATTGAAAGTACAACAAAATTTTGTAACCTGTATACCCATATTATAGTTCTTTTACCATCAAGATCTTCTGCCATATGTAAATCTACAAATCCCTAATCTTTGCACTTCCAAACTAAAATGTCTTGTTGACTTTTCTATCAAGTACCTGAGAATACATCTCACTGCCTCTCAATAATATGTTTCCCTTGATTACCCATTCACATGCTAACCATTTCCACTACATGTACAATATCTAGTTTTGTACATATCATCGCATGCATTAAACTTCCAGCTGCTGAAACATATAGAATTTTTAGTATACAAAGTTCTTGTACATGCTTTGCTTCAGACTTAGACGATTGTGAACGCAAACTGGTTTTATCTCACTCATTTTGAACATGCGTGTGAAAATATTTTCTGATTGAAACAATTTCAGTATACCTACACTCTTGTCCCTACGAATTTCTTCGTTTGGCCTAAATCATTCATTTCAAACTCCCTCCTTCAAGTTTATGATCTTCTCCATGTTTGTTTTTGCAATAGATATGTCATCTGCTTACAAAAGAAACACGATATAGTAATTACCAAAGTATTTAATAAAACAGTGATCTGCTTGGCACTTCACGTACGCATTGTTTGATATAAACCTGATAAATCTTATGTACAACTATATTAGGGCATACTTCCAATGATAAGGGCTCTTTTTTAGTCTGTAGATCTTGCCCTCTTTTCCTGGAACTCCATATACCTATGGCTGCACGATATACACTTCCTCTTCTAAGTCACCATATAAGAAGATTGTCTTCACATCCATCTGTTTCAGATGTAAATGTTTCTATACTACAAAGCTCAACACAGCTCTAATAGTTGTCATTTTTGCCATATGAGAAAATATCTCATTGTAATCCACTCATTCTTTTTGTTGAAACCCCTTTACAAGTATTGCCTTGTAGCGCATGCTACCATCTAACTCTTCTTTTAGTAGTAAATATACTTGTTGTGCAGTCATTTTTGCCATATGGTAATTCTATTAAATCGTATGTCTGATTTAACCCAAATGACTGCATATCATTATCCATGGAAAACCCCCCAATACTTAGAGTCCTCAACTTAAGTGGTCTCTTCATATTAATTTGGTTCACCACAATCAGTCGGCAATAAATAGTATAAAGAAGTGGAATACTTATGTATTGGTCGTGTGATTCTTCTGGATCTCCTGACTAGTAATAAATGTCTAAGGAAATTCATTTGCTACATCAAATTGAGCAACTTTCATTTCTCCATCTTCGTAATCGCTAATATCTTTTTATCTCAACTTATT